ATTTCCCTGGTCAAGTTCCCAGATGTTTTCCTTGGGCTGTATTTCTTGGACACCAACCATTTTTCTGACAAAGCCAGTGGAGCTCTGGGTATGTGTTGTTACAGATGTATGGGGCAAAGAAGGATGGTCTTGTAACTAAGCTCCTGAAATGAGAATATAGTGGGGGGTTTGTTTCAGGGTGTTCTTGAGAAACTTCACATTTGATTTATTCTTTTTGGACATGTAACTTTTCCTGCCTGGCAAAGCAGACCCTACTCTGAGAGGAGGGGAGGTCTGACCCTGCAAACACAACACAATGCTTTTCCATTCACCAGTGGCACAACCCTAAAGAGCCCATTATGGGTTTAGGAGTTGTTAAAACAAGACTTAAATAATAGTTGGGCTTAACCTCACCAGTGCTGTGGAATGACAATGATTTATGCAGCAAATTCATTTGATGTCAAGTAACGGAGCATAAATAACAGATGTAAAATTGTAAACAATCACAGTTAGAAAATGGAAACCAGCTGATCCTGAAGGTCTCGGCTCCAAAAATCCTGATGGGACTAAAGCTGAAGTTGTTTCAGAAACTTTGCAAATGGAGAGGCTGCATCTCCCAAAACCACAAAAAAAATAATTGTGAAGACCCATCAGAGTGAGGCTGAGCCTCCCTGTGGAGAGTGTGAGGGATAACAGGAGATCACAAGTGAAACACAGGAATTTTCTTAACTTGCTAAGGGAGCTTTCATTTGTTTGTTTTCTGAGATGAAGAGCTGCTTTCCTGGAGTTAGAGCTGCCATCTGGGTTAAATGACCAGCAATGTTGTATTTTTAAATAATTTGTGTGTCTGTTGCTGCTTAGGTCAATTTTATTCAAAAGCACAATTTAGGGATAACTCCAACATCAACCAGAGAGCTGACGAAAGACTCCTAACGGTGTCTGGATCTGAGCACAAAGTTTCCAGGTAACACACATGGGGGGGGTGCTTTGAGATGTATTTTATCAGGAAACACAGGAGATCAAAAGAAATGAAACTGGGGGATTGTGTGTCTGTATGGACACACCTCTTTGGTGTAAATAACTTGCACTTGAATTTTTCCTTAACAGCCTGAATTTGTTGCTTGTTAAGTGATGCTACAGGGCCCAAGGCTCCTATTTCATGGGGGGAATAATCATATCCTGGGTGCAGCTCTGACTCCTGGTGCCATCTGCACACATCAGGGCAATTCTGGGCCTGCCCTTTGAGTGTGTTATCACAGTTCTTCTTGTTTTGATTTTGTTTCAGGATGTACAAGAAAGATTACAGGCTTGAGTCAGCCCGTGGGCCCGTTTCCTGCTGGTCAATAGATTTAACTCCCTAGGAAAAAATTTTCTGGGAAAGAAAACCATGCAGATGATGCTCTTCCATGTACTTTTGATACTTTCATCAAGAAAACCACTCAGTTAAAGCCTTATTGTTACTATATACATAGTAAAATATATATCACAAATATTTTACCTTGAAACAATTATACTTGCAAGATGAGACTGTGCCTGCTTGTTTGCTGTTTGAAAACGGTTTCTAATCCATTGTTGTTGAAGATTTATGTGAATGAACTAAATAAAATCAACATTATCAGCTTACAGTTTGATATGGACACATGGACTTAAGTTTCCAAAATAAAAATCAGTGGCAACATCATCCAAGCCAACAAATGAGTCATGCAAACAGGGATAGATTTCTAAAATGTGCACCCTCTATCCAGGTGTAAGTGATGGTGTTACTGAACCATGTGTTTTGTGGAAAGAGCAAGAAATTTAAGGCAGTATTTGTTTATCATGTCTCTCATATTTTATTGCTGCATTAAGGTTCTCTTGGAGGTCATTCTGTAAGGCAGTTCAAACCTGATGAAATCAGCAATAAATAGGATCATTTGGAGACCACAAACCTGCACTGGCTGCAGTCCCGTTCACTGCTGCAAAGTCTCTGAGGTTCCCTTTTAAAAACATCTGCAAAACAGCCGTTCACTGGTTGCAAAAAAGACCTCTGACTGGTTGCAAAAGACAGCATCTCAGCCCAAAAGTCAGCAGCCATTTCTGGCACCATTTCATGCAGCATTTTGCAAACACTGGAAGATGTTTCACAAATAATGAATAACTCAACCCCAACTTGCCACGCACGGAGGTAACACTGCAGAGCAAACACACACACAGAAGCTTCTGCCCATGGATTCCAAGTTGCACTTTCAGTCTTCAGCTTGTTCATAGCTTTTAATTCTAAAATTATTTTGTTTTAGAATTTTTGTTCCTGTGTATCTTTGAACCCATAAATATGCCAGCAGTTCAACAGAAGTTGCTTTCTATCCTGCCAATAATACATAACTGGAAAAACCTTATTATTTTAGAGCAAAGTACTAAAAGAGAAGCAATTTCTTGCCAAAGCCAATAAACAAACTACGTAATTAGCAGCCTGTTTTTATAGAAGAACCATGCAGACATGATGCCAAGATATGTTTGTGTGAATTTCTTGGACTTTCAAAATGTAGATTTGCAGGTGGCGATTTTGCTGGACAAATTACACGACAAACAATGTGGAATTTGGAAACTGGGAACGCCAGATTGCTCACTTGCATCGAAAACAGGCTTACCCAATTTGCAAGGCAGAAGATTGCATTATAAATGAATCTGGGATTTGAATCACGTGCTGTGGATCCTGGGTTCTACAGCGGACTTGCTGCAACTTAAAAATCCCTGTTTTCGGCTGCAGGGTGTCCACGTGCCCTCTCCTGCCCTGCCTGCCACCTGCAGGGATAGAAACAGCCCTGATGGGAGCAGTGGGGCACGGACGGAGCAGCTTTCACCGCGCACCTCTGCTCGGTGAGGCTCGAGCGTGTGCGGGCCGGGCCGTTCCCCAGAGCGGCCCCAGCCCCGCAGTGCCCACCTTCCCCGGGCAGCCCCTGCCCTGCTCGGGCAGCTCTCCTTGGCTGCAAAGAAGCACATCCCGCTAACCCGGACGGATGGGAAGAAAACAAGCTGCCAGCCTTCCTCATAAAAACTCTGCGTAGTTGGTGTCTTTCCCCCCTCTTTCCGCAACTTCCCAGCGGAGCTGTCCCCGTCCCCTGGGCTGGATCCGATTTGTGGGGCTGCCTCAGGCGCCGTGCCCGGAGCCGCTCAGGAGCCTCTCGTGTCCCCAAGGGGCGCTCGCGGCTGTTCCCACAGGGATGTCTGTGTTTCCTGCAGCAGCCCGATGTCGCTGCTGTGCCTGGCTACTGCGGCTCCCGGATTCCTGGAAGTGCGGCTTCCCCCCTCCAGGTATGCTGTCCATTCCATAAGGATGTGCCATTCCACTCTTCTTCACTTGAATTGTATTTTAGTTTGATGTTTAGTCACTCTCCTCCTGCCCTTTCTGAGGCCCAGAGTGAGTTCTGATTTTCTACACTCCCTTCCCTTGCTCAAGGAGTTGAAGGCAGACACAATAATGAATATTTTGCATTCTGTAATTTCTAATTCCAGTGCAAAATAACAGCTATATCCACATCTCACAGTAGATCTCTCTCACACTTCTCTTTCAACCAGCATTGTCCCTGTTGGCAGTAGGAGTAAATGTTTTATTTAACTGAAAGCACCTCTCTGCTATTTCTCTCTGCCCTCCTTGTGACCTCTAGGTCCATTTGCTGTTATCTCCTACCCTGCAGGAATCTTGGAGTGCATATTGAACAGGAGCCATGCAGAAGCAGACTAGAACCCGAGTTCAACTCCTGGCTCACAGTTCTGTCACAGCTGACAAGGCTCCTGCCACCTCCAGGGATTTGCCTCATCCCCATTAATCAAACAAGAAAGCTCAGTGCTCAGCACTGCCTTGTGCCCAAACTCTGCCAGACAGGCAGGTCAAGGTCTGCTGTGCCCTGCTCTGGTTTATTATGTTAATGGGGTGAGTACAGGACCAGCCCTGATTCCATCTAATTAAATTATCTTAGAATAAAAATCTTAGAATAAAAGTTTAGAACCATGTAAACTTAACCTTACTAGTTCCAATGTTCTGGTCTCTCACTCCTTTCTGTTATTCTCCCTGCCTTCCCCATTTTTCAGTAATTTATAACCATCTGTAGAAACTACTGTTTTCTTTCATCATTTTTGTCTGAATTTAGCAGGCAGAGATATGTAGCCACTGTGACACCCTCTCCTCTTCCCAGTTTTTTTTAATCTACAAAACTTTTGCTTTCAGTAAAGATTTTGCTCCTGGAAAAGGCCTGTATCTCCCATAAATTTAACAGTGAGTATAATTTTTCTCTATTTTTTTCCTCTTTGATTCTTCTGTTGAATTTTTGTTCACCTCTACCTTTGTTCTTTCAATGTAACCCATCACATCTCATGCCATCTCTATTTTTCCCACTACACTCCTCTTTCCTCAGGTGTGTCTGCATTCTAGTTTTCCACACACTGACTTTCTCTCCTTGTCATACAGCAATAGTGGAATTTTCTGCTTTACCATGTGAGACCACAATTACCTTGGTGTGGCTGATTTGATTAAAAGAAATCTTGAAGTAAATAAGAAATAGGTTTTTCTTTTTCTTTAGAAGTAATACCTTACAATTTCTTCCAGTACAAAATGAATATATAAATAAATGGGACACTTCTTGCCCTGAATATGTTCATAAATTCTGTTATGGGAACAGAGGGAGGGGTTCTACACAAAAAAGACAAAGTCCAAAAGAGCTGTTATTACTTAAATGTGAGTGGTGCTTGCAACTGTGGTATTTCATGAATTTATAAAGATTTGGGCATTCAAAAGTTAGGTTCAAATTAAAATACTAAAATACCCAGCAGTCCTGGATGCCAACAATCACCCTGTGTGCTGGCACCAGCCCTCAGCACTGCACAGTCAAGTGGTCGGGAGGTTCCAAGTGCCGTGGAATTATCCCAAAATCTGGGCTGGGCTGTCAGCTGCCCTCTTGTGCTCAGTCGCGAAATGCATCTGACGCCCTGGGCTTCGTGAAACCGGAGTGAAAACATCCAGAGCTGCTGCAATAACAGGACCAGGCACTGAGTGCTGAGGCTTTATTTAAGTCACTCCGTCATTGATTTAATATTGGATAGAAGGTTTCTGTTTTGTTTTACAAAGTAACGTTCAAAGTCAGAATTTTGAACCTAATAAAGAGGACGTTCCAGAGGAGGAGGGGTATCTGTGCACACAAGGGGAACAGCTGCCCTGCACTTCAGATTCCACCAAATTCACAGTAAAACTGTATGAGAATCCAGCATACCTTGTCCTTTGCCAAACATGGTATGCTTACAGATTTTTAATAGTTCTTAAACATTAAAAAATACTGTTCTTTCAGACAAATCATCCGTCTACCCACGAATTTGGAGGAAGTTGTAGTTGCTTAAAACAGACTGGAAACAATATAATCTGTGTGAACGCCGTCTATGAGCCCAGCTCCGTTGTCATGGACAAACCAGCAAGGAATGTCAACACCATGGCTGGGATCTCTTCTGTAATCCTTCTGCCAGCCCCTGAAAGGGAAACACAGCCAGGGGAGTACCAAGGTAGGAACTGCACTTGGACAAGGCAATCTTGCCTAAGTCTTTGCTAAGGACTTAATTATTTTGTACCTCGTTACTATCAGTTCATTGTTTTTAACAACCATTGTGGCATCTGGTTTCTTGGGATCAGACCCAGGATGAATTTCAAGTATGGTGAAGTCAATGGGGTGGAAAAATTGTCCTAAAATAGAAGCCAAAATTAACATTTCAGGCATGTTGCACACATTAAAACAGTAACCAAACAGAAATCCCAGAATTTCTACATCCCCATGCTGGTTTCCATGTCCCTTCAGGGGTTTGAATGGATAAGCAAACACCAGGTCTCATGTAAGGTTGAACATATGCCCATGGAATTATTTTCTATCTACAATCCATATCATCTGCATGTAAGTTCCAGCTTCTGAGTGCACAATACAATTAGCCTTTTCTATATATCTTTCAAGATATCCTCACTTGTTTTCTAGTCAACTGTATTTATGATATAGTCCCCAAATTTTTAGCTTTTTTTTTGAATCAAATAATGTGTGTGTTGATCTCTGAAACCTCTGGATGTGACTGTGCTCAGCACAAGGCTGACAGCTAAGGAACTTTTGTACTCCTGCCAGGATTAGCTTTTGCACACTTTTGTCCTTTCTGGGCTGGTGCAGTTCATTGTTTTCCACACTGAGTAAACTTATTGACCTAAAAGGAATGTTTGCTGCCCTCATCAGATTTTGTAAGTGAAAATTGGAAGGCAAATGTCTGCTCTCTGTGGTTTTTTGCAGCAGAGAATGCCCACCACCAAACCCACTGCACTGGCAGAAAATGGGATCAAACTCTTGATCCCTGAATTATCAACTTCACTTTCTACTAAAACAAAGAATGCTGGCTAACATAAGGAAAACCCTGGATGACACAAAGGCATATTGTGGGTTTAATATATGCTAATAAATCAAGTTATACCTTAACAATTTCTTTTCTTACAAGGATCCACTAACTGAGGCTTGGCAAATTTTGATCAGGCAAACAAGTATTTTTTCAGAGTGCCTGTGTTTAGGCAAAGGGTGATAAGATGAAAGGAGAAATTAAACCATCCAAGAGACTGGAGGAATAGTGTAGTAAGCAAAAAAAAATCTGTAGGTGGGACTTAGCAAGATAAAGAGGTTTAAAGATACCAGTGAGGACAATGAGTGCCAGTGATTTCAGCAGCAGAAGCAGAGAAATTTGTGAAAAGATAATTCACTCAGTCTGAGCCCAGAATGTTTTATCACAAATCTTAATTCTGTCAATCAATGTCATCTCAGTTTCCTCCATTCTCAGTTCAGAAAGGTTAAGTACAAGCTTGTGTCTACAAATTATGCAGCCTCAAAAGGAAGGACCAGCATGGAAACACTAAAAGAAGTCATACCTAATAATCCATGGGTCTGTTCAGACAGTTTATCCTCTTCCAATGTATACAGTCCTAGGAAATCTTGGTGGAGAGGATGCTTCTTCCATACTTGGTGCAAAACAACAACAAATGAGGCACCACTGCCCATTGAGAGCACCAGATTTTTTTTTCTATTAATTATTAAAGTTAAACTGAGGGGAAAAAAAACCCAAAACATGAATTAGGACATTGTGCTTCCCAGAGTTAACAGCAAGGAGAAGAGATGTGAGAAGAAGAAGCCTGTCCAAGACATAAACATGGCTTTATAAAGTGCTGAGTGTCTTTTAGAAGAGAGGGTTTGCTGCCTAGTTTGATCCATGGGAGTCTCTGTATGTGTGTTCACAGACAGTCACAGAATCATATTAAATGACACTGGAAAAGGCTACCTGGCCTTTAAACTTTTCAATAAGATGGTTTTACCAAAACTTGTCCTTTAACAGTGCAAATAATCAGAGGTAGGTCAGTGATATGTAGGTACAGCACCTCATGCTCAGTAATACAAATTCTATTGATAAAACCATCGCTTCCTTGGCTGGATGCTACATGACACTTTTTCCTTTTGTTTTTCAGAGAAGTCAGCTCCCAAACTGCCTAGGTTAGTGCTTAGATAAAGAAGTTTTGCTTCTGATCGTGTTACTGGCATCATCCATGTTCTATCATAATTAAAAAAACCCCCCAAACAAACAGAAAGGCATGCTGTGTGAATAAGTTTTGCTCTCTGCTGCAGTGCCAGGCCCTGAGAAGGCAGGAGGAGGAGATGTTGCCCATTCCTTTTCTGAACTTCCTTTTGCACAGGTATAAATGATTCTGTAACAGAGAGATCCCATGAAAAATAGACCTGCTGACAGGGCAAAATGTACCTATTCTGTAAATGCCACAATTTCCATTTCTTAAACTGGAGATTGTTTATGGTGCATTATTATGCCTTTGAAAGATTACACACTGTGTCTAAAGTTAATCTTCAAGCATTTGCAAGACACTGCTGCATTAAGCACGAGACCAAATCTACCTTTGCCTTAGTCATGGTAATAGACTAGCAGGGACAAATTTTCACTTACTTATTCCAAGCAGAGGAATTTGTGAATAATTCAGCAGTTACACAACAAAATAGAGAGCAGAGTCCAGCAGGGCTTGAATCAATTTCTTTTGTAGATTCAGACAACAAATCTTAGAAGTGTATTATTGATCAATGTTTAAAGAAGTGCAGAAAGTAATGCAAGAGCCTGATGGCCTTTCTTTAAGCCTTACCCTGCTTGTTGCAAGGTGACTGAGTCAAGCCAGGTGAAACCCATTTTTTCATTGCCATTCTGAACTGTGATCCTCTCAGGAGTTACTGTCAGTTTTAAACCCAGGTGCTTATTTGCAATGCCAAGTTTTCCAAAATACGAATTTTGGATCTTTGCATCGTTATTTGTTCTCTTATCACCAATGAGTTCTCCATTGACTGTGATGCCTAATATAGAAAGGAAACAAGTGTTGTTTTATAGACAGGACTTGATTAACTGATGCCAAGGGGTGTTTTTAATTTTTAACAAAACCAAAAGAATTAGGTATGAGTTGAAAAATATATCAGAATTACTTGTGCATATTTGTGCTAAAGTAAAATAAAGCCCTGGGGGCTGTTCAGTGAATTTCCACAAAGCCAACAATCATTTTCTTGAGAAAAGTTCAATATTTCCTAGAACACAAAGAGTTTGTGATGGGCACAGATGGCCTGTGTGACATCAGTCTCTCTTTATCAGATATTCCATGAACTGGCAACTTAAGGATTATTTTATTGTCTGTACTAAAACTCACTGAGACAAATTACTACTCTCAACCCTCGCAGTGGTTTTCAAACAAAGTTTAAAAGTTTATTTTGCTCCAAGAAGTGAAAACAGTCATGGTAATGATACCCTCTCATAACTGTAGGACCTCCTACTAACTTTGCAGGGAAAAAAGGTTTATGCATTATAAAGAAAGAAACAGCCTTTATGCACAGGACATTTTGTTAGAAGTATCATGATTTACTGATTATTTTAAAAAAAATAAATTAAAACTCACCTGTAACTGGATCATTTATCAAATTTAAGACAGTACCCGGGTTTTCATTGATATTGAAACAGATGGCATCTCTTTTTTGTGGCACCCATATCACGAAGTGTGGGTCCCCATCAACTGCAAAGGCAAATCACTGGTGTTTGGACAGTGACACACAGGGCAAAGCTCCACATGAGCAGTTAATACTGTGCCAGTGGAACTGGGCCCTTCACAAGCTGCATGAAAGTGTTACTGAGAGCAGGAAGGGACCTGAATAGAGAACAGGCAGGTACCAACACAAAGCCCACTGACAGGAAGGAGGGCTGAGGAAAGGACCACAAATCATTTCAATTTCTTGATCTTTAAAAGACACTGAGAGATGTTAAAAGTAAACTAAAATATTAGCCCCTTGAAAATGAAAAATGGCAGCTTTTATGGAAGGGAATTATCAAAAAGACTCATAAGAATTGTGTAGTTTAGCCTTAAAAACCCTCTTCTGTTCTCCTTCTAAACAGGCAGCACTCAAACCACTCACCACTGGTGTACCATGTGGGTTGTGATCCTCGATACATTTGTGAACCTGCAGAAGGAAAAAAAACTTGTTAGAAAAACACATCAAAATGGAAAATGTACATGCTCTCTGCATGGTACAAGTAAGATGTCAGGAGGTTAATATGTTTGTTAAATCACTAATTCCATCCTGGTTTTTAAAGCATATAGTCCATGGGATGACAGTTTGTGCTGCTCTTGAATCAAAAAAAGCTTCACAATAGAGACAGGTTTCACTTGTCTACATTGCTTTGAGGGTCTCCACAGAGCCCAGGTAATGTATCTGCAGGACACAAATATCTCAGGCTTTAGGATCAAGCTATCAGCAAGGCAATGCAACATCATCCACTGAAAACTTTTGACATTTTGACATTTGTTTTTCCAGAATGAATTTAAGTGTCTCAACAAAAACTTGAGAAAACTAGACAGAGACAGAGAGACTGAGACTAATCCCCAGAGTGAAAAGGTAACTCTAACTCTCCCATTCCCAGGATTTCCCAGCCAGCCATTTGATGGGTCAGTTGCTGCTTCTCTCTCTTGAATTAAAACAGTTGCTTTTTGCACAAGTAACTGAAGATATTAATTTAACCAGGATGTTGGACATCATAGGCCCTTGCTTTATATCATGGAGATCCAAATTGAAGTCCATCCTCTGTTTTTGGGAAACACCTTTCAGGAAAAAATGGTGGATGGATGAATTGGCATTTTCTCCTCAAAAACTATTTAGCTGAAACTTTTTCACCTCGTATTGTTCAACCTTTAAGTGTGTTTTTAGCAGGGAGCAGAATTTGGCAGTATTTGTTAAAGTACAGTTGTAAACCCAGACATGGCAGTCTCCAGCTCTCTGGTAACTTCAGTTGACAGGTCCTGCTCCAGTCAGAAACTTAATGACTTACCAAGCATAGAAGATACGGAACTCAGTGCTGTGAAGGAAACAAAATGTTATTTTAGAGGCTACAAAGAACAAAAAAACCAATTTTTCTTGCTTCCTTCCACCAAAACCAACTCAAAAAAATACTGTAATTATGTATAAATTTCTAAATTATTACAAAGGAAAAACTTTATTTGATACTGCTACAAAGCAGTGTCATGAAAGGGCTGAAAGCACACCCTCCTTTTCAGCAAGAATGTTCCTTCTCCACAGGCCTGGGCTTGGCTCTGTATGGGACTGGGGCAGCCTGCTCTTCTCTGGTTCCTCTGTGCCACCTTGCTCTAAGCTGTACTTCCCCAGAAGGGAAGTCAGTAAGATTTTCCCACCTACTTCCATATTTTTCTAGTCTTCTGCTCTTTTTACACCTGAAACTCTGTCAGGGTGTCTGAAGACAGGGCTTTGTTCTGAAGGAGTGGCAATCACAGCAGGAACAAAGACATATTTGTATGGGATTGCCTCACACAGGTACCTGGGAGCCCCCAGTGCCAGCCCTGCAGAGCAGCTTATTTGTACTGGGCCTGAATTCTCTGGTGGTGGGATGCTGCAATCATCAGAGACAGGAGGAACCACACTGAAAACACTACAAACTTATCCACCTGAAAAGTTTAAAATGTATTTATAACACTACCTTGATTTATTCACTAAGAATTTTATGACAATATTGCATCCTAGATCAAATAACCAGTGTGGGAAATCCATCTCTAGCAGTTAAAAATATGACATAAATTTAATAAGAAATGTACATACCTTCAGCTGTTACCACGGGCAGGCAAGGAGTAAAAGGAAGAAAAAGAGACATTTACAATTTCAGTTGTATAATGAAACAGGTGGAATTCTGACCCTGCTAAAACATATTTTAAGAAAAAAATATAAATTTAAAACTGTTTGAAAACTCAACCAGGTATCTTCAGTATTTTACAATTCCATTTCTTCCCAGTGATACAACTCAATATTTGTAGATCAAACAGAAACACACTGAAAGTAAAAAGCTTTTATGTGGGGCAGCAAAACTGCAATTTATTATGCATGGGACAAGGGCTTTATTTGTAGTTGTTTTATTGTTGTGCCACACCTATACTGCAAAATGTTCCTTACTGGGTTTACTCTTTTGCAGTTTTTGAGGCATTTGAATAATTCTATTAATACTGACTGGATCATTCACTAATCTGATTTGTGAATCTAGACTTCAGGGTGTGTACAATAATTTTATTTTATTTTCTTATACAGAAGCAGTCCTTTGAGTATTTTCTGCTATTTCTGCTCTATATTTTCTATGTACAGAGAGGATTTCCTGGGAAAGAGGTTCAAAGAGGAGCCAGGTACCACAAGTACCTGGAAAGGAAAAGCAAAGAGATGAAGATGAGTGAGTGGATGTCTCTTCTGTCAGATGTTTGGGGTTTTCCATCTTATGGAGGCCAGGTGCAAACTTTAAAGTCACTATGTTGTACAGTGACTTGAATGTTAAATTAAACATGAAGGGTTGTGTCAGTATTCCATTATGAGGGTTATGAAAAATAATGCAAAAACTTATCAGCAGAATGCCTGAAGAATTATTCACAGTTGAAAGACACTTAGCAATTCATTGGTGTCAGGATTTATTCCAGCTGAAAGAAAAACCCACTAATCCCCTGTAAGTATCTCTGTTATGCTAAAATGCCTTAAGTTTTCATGCTGAATTCAAAAGATTAGGAAGTTTTTAATGTAGAAGGCAGCAGAGAGCCCACACAGAGCCTGCAAGAACTTTTAGGGGCTCTAGGTAAAAGTTTTGGGGAAAAAAAATACTGGGTGCTGACAGAAGAGACTGAAAAGCCTCTGTTAGACCTGTAGAACCAGGGTGGCTGGAACAATACACAGAGATGAAGTTTGGGTGGCTTTGGGGCAGTCTGAGCAAACAGCACTGCCTTGCTTTGATAGAGGGGAACAGAGTGTTTGTTACACAGATGTTGAACAGAGAGGCTGAACTGTTTTACTAAGAATAGAGTTCATCACTAGCCAAAGTATCAGAGGAGTTGAAAACAAATTGTCTACTTTCAATATAATTGCTTCTCTTTCTGCAATATATGTGAATGCTGTGTTTTACATATGCAATCTCAAATTCTTTTACAACTTGATGCATCCTGCATGAGGAAGAGCTCATGTAAATTTTCCTCTTTCATGCAGAAAGAGATTACTAAATCTACCCCTAGGCTGAAGTATGTGGAAAAAAAAAAGGAGTAAGTGATGTGAACTCATTTTAATATAGCTGGATTACTAGATTAGAAATGCTCCTTGGTTTGCTTTTTTTTCTGTAATAGTTTATGTATTTAGTTTAAAATTCACTTATTTTAAATTTATAGTACTTTGCCTATACAACAGTAATGAAAGATGGTTTGATGGAAGTGAGATTTACAATGAAAAGTAATTTTTGCATAAACACATGTGCCAGGCTTGGAAAGTATATTATTTTTCAGATGCATGTTTAAAACTGTGCCCAAATAAAAGCCTTTCTTTAGGAGAATGTCAAATGAATACTTGGCTTCTCAAATGCAGTAAAAATGTGAACATGTCTGTACCTTCAGTGGGTTTATCAGCAATCACATCTTCACTGTCATCTTCTTCTGGTTTTGTTACCACCATGGATGTCAGTGGTGTTACAAACTTGTACTTCAGGGAGAGAGCCAGGGCTTCAGCTGTAAGGTTTTCCTTTTCTTCTCCTGTAGCTGCAATACTGAATACAGGTAGAGACTCCCAGCATCAGTGACTGCTGAATTACTCACCAAATTCAATATTTTACTTTAAAGTGAAGTCATTTCTCTGCAACTAATTTATCAATAAGTCATATTTGTTACACTCTAAAAGCACTTCTGATTCCCCTGGCTATCCAAGAAAAAGGCAAAATCGTGCTTTATACTTGCAATAATTTAAAATTGTTTCATTTGCAACCTGAAACAGGAATATTGAGGCTAGGGAGGAGAATAGGTTGGGGGATTTTCCTTACTGATTTTTATCCTAGAAGCTGCAGGAGTCAGAGGGCTTAAGGAGTTCATAGCTAAGATGTTATTCTAGATATAATTACCGTCTTTCCAGGAGTTGTTCAATGGTAAGATAAGCCCAGAGCCTTTCAATGTACTCTCCAAATATGTATTCTTGTTCTTGGAAAGCCTGAGCTGTTTGCTCAGCATCTTGTTGTGTAGTGTATGACAGGGCATCTTTAGCCTGTTGGGAGTAAGGAAGCTTCTCTGTATCAAAAGTAGCCAAGGACTGCCAGAACCTCCCAAAAATCCAGACCTTCACACCTGAAAACCTTATCAAGTTGAAAACCAGCTTGGTTCCACCCAGCACTTGCCCAGGAGATTGCCAGTGTTGTATGAGGAATTTTGACCCATTGTTTCTGTGAAGGTCAGAGGTGTACACTACAGGACATAACACAGTTTCCAAAATCACATGGCGTTTTTGTTCATCAGAATTCAGCTACTCAGGATTAAAGGAGTTTGATTATGATACTGATTTCAGAGAGGAACATGCTCAAGCAGACAGGTTGGAATTAAGTTCACAGTAATACATTATTTGTATTAAAGTACACCAAAGTCCACGGTCCATGGGGTATATTTGCAATCCATGATTTATGATAACATGGTCTAGAATATGTTTGTGTTCTGTTTCTTGAATATCAGGGGTAAATATTTTTACTGAATCCAGATGTGGAGAGGTATTAGAAGCAGAGTTCTATTTTAAGGGGAAGATATTTCAAATATTCAGCTGGCTTATTCATTGGTTTTCTTCATCCACTGAAGAGAAGTGCCTGTGAACACTGAAAATTTGGCTCCCAAAAGAATCAGGTAGGGTATTTAGAGACTAAATACATACAGTATTTATATATTTATAAATATATGAGGATATGTATCAATACATGAGTATATTTATATATATTTGTTAGCAAAACTAATCTAGTCACACTGCATAAAGTTGTTCAAGACTGACCCTACTCCACTTGAGTTAGGCAAGTAATTTGCAATTTTAAAAGCAATGACTTTGGCACGTTTAGTTTCTCACATGTGCAGTGACCCATCCTGTCACCGAGGTAAAGAAATACCAATAAATATTTTAAGTATTTAAGTAGTGCCAGCTTTGAACATTCAGAGATTTTGTGTATCTTACATAAGTTAAAGAAATCCATACTTACACCTTCACCTCTCACATCTACAGTCAATTGGTTTTGGTTGCTGTCTACAAAACGTCCAGCCACCACAATCTCAGACCCATCATAGAAATGCTTAAAACTGTTCGTAGTTAGATCTTGTATTTCATTTTCTGGGTAGTTTAACTCCACATCTGTGAGCATGGGATTTGACACCTCATCATAAAACCCCTATAAGATAAAAAAAAAAGGAAAACATTTAACTCTCATTGTTTCTTTAATTCGTAGATCTGTAACCAGAAACATCCTGCTATTTTGGCAATGAAAACTGCAAGTGTATTTTATAAGAAATATTTAAATATTTGGTTAACTCTCAGAGCACAAGGCCTAAAAAAATCTACAAATAAAGGAGATGAGAAAGGACATACAACTCTTCAGTCTCGCTTAGAGAGAGAAAAAAATATCTCAGAATAACATGCTGTGGATGATGAATCAAGAGGGATCCCTGGTATTTGATAGAGATAAGTTTCTAGATCTATTCCCAGTAGAGACTGATGTAACAACATAGTCAAAGCAGACTATTTTTTACTATATTTGATTTCAAGCAGAGCTTGAAATGAAATCCAGTATGTAATTCTTTGGTGAATTTTTTGAATGGCTGCTATTGGAATGGGAGAAGTAAAACAGGTCAACCTCATAAGGCCTACACCTGTTTTCATGTCTTATACAACTCTAGAATGCCTCAGAAGTAGGGTAGGATACACCTGCTTCCAGTAAGTCTCTAAAGGCAGAATATCTAGAGCTTTATGATCTGTTCCCCTTCTCGTCCCTTGACACGACATTAACCACGTGATCTGTGAGGTTTGGGATATAAATGACTGCAGCAAGTTTGCTGCACACCAGGTGCCCTTCAGAAGCATGACTTGTGTCACCCTGTGCCACAACTCTCTGCCATAGCCCACAGTATCTCCCTTTTACTGTCCTTCCACCTCTTGCTTATATGAGGGAAGGAGAAAATCAAATGCAACTAAAGGTCCCTTCCAACTCAGACTATTCTATGATTCAAATATTCTGATTACAGCAGATTCTGGAGTATCCCAGTATCAGATTACACACTGGGGTTTTGATTGCTTGAAAAGAAGAACAACTGTATAGTTATCTGAACCAATGTATTTTCATCTAATTTAAGTGGTAGTTACTGTACTTGAAGCTGTAAAGCTGCATCAGAGTCAGGATAAATCCGACGGGCCAATCCTTTGTTCTCCAGTGCCATCCTCTCCAAGAAGCCATAGTCTACACCAGAGCCAAACCCAAGGTTGTATAAGGGGTATCTTCCTTTAATAGCATTTTTTACATCTGTCTCAATGGTGTGAATATCTGATACACCTGCATCAAACCAGGAAACGTTTGAGTTGTCTTCAAAAACAGATAAAATGATCACAAAATTAAATGTGACTCGTCATGTTCAGATTTCTTAGGAGGCATTATCAAAAACTTGGTTTAGTATAATGATGCTGTATAGTAGCATTTAAATCATGAAAACATCAAGAAGTCAAAGGTGAAGGCCAGTTTTAACTAGCATTTTTTATTAGTTAATTAACTCTCTTTATTATTCCATCCAATAGAAGCTTACCTTGGTTTGGCTGGCCATCTGTTAACATGATAATTATAGAGGCACTTCTCTTGGGCACAAGGTTCCCTTCATGAGCAGCATTCAGAATATCAATTCCCCTCATCAAACCACCATGTAAATTTGTCACTATGGGGTAGACATAGAAATTTGGGTTCAGCAGAGATCATCACAAGAAAGGCCCATTTTTCACTGGGATCTGAAGAGATTTAAGTACAGCATGAAAATGAAAGATTTGGGTTTATAAGCAGGGGGATGTTTAGACAGAGAAGTACCTGGACTTTGGAAACATAGAAATAGATGTCATGTTCTGAGTAAAATTCAACTTCAGGAGTGTCTCATCAGTAATCTAAAAACCCAACAAGCTGTAGCATTGTGTTCACAGAATGAAGAGATAAATTAACTTACACAGTGACCAACTGGCAAGTCCAGTAAAGTACTTACTGCCTGAAGCATCAATGTTCCGAACAAACTTCCTTGCTTCATCCAAATTCTCAGGAGTGGCCTTGATTAATGTTTCTTTCCAGGTGGACACACCAGAACTGAACAATATGAAATTGAAGAAGTCATCTTCTTTAATGTCATCTAAGATTTTTAGAAGTGCTTCTCTTGTCTATAAGGCAAAGAGATTTAAATAGACAATTCAGCATTTAACAGAATAGGTGCTTACAGATTTGACATTATTAATCTCTCAGCATTGGGGTATTTTTAACTTTTATATAGTATGTTGTGCAAAAATCCTGAGCTTGGTCTGTCCTTGCCAGTCCCTGTGCCTGGTTCAGAGTAACTCCAGGGAAGTCAGTCAGCTGCAAGAACACCTGGTAAGTCTTTGTAGCTAAAAGGAAAATCAGATCTCCTGTCATGGATTGTTGCTCACACTGGGATAAGCTGGCATGGCAAATTGAAAGCGATGGGAAATGGGTAGCTACAGTTTGGTGGAGAAGCTCATACACAAGCAAGCCTGGATATTTTGATGTGACACCAAAACCTGAAAATTCTGAGCATTAGCTTAGAATGAGGAGTCCTAACTATGAAAAGCTCATATCCCTTCCAGTACTTTTTCCCAGCTCTTCCATTGAAACTCTTCAGTAATGTAATAACTTACCTGTTCCATTGGTCTTCCATACATTGAGCCACTAGTATCCATTACAAAAATAATATTCTTGGGCAAATTTGGAAGATTTGTTGGTGCAAAGAAGTGTACGAAGTAGCCATTGACAATCTAAAAAATAAAATGTGAAAAAAAAAACCCATAACACCACCAAAAACTTTGGTATATTGTAAAGCTAAAACAGATAAAGGAGATATTACTCTCATTTAGTGTCTGGTCTCTGAGTGGACTAAAAGGTTTTAATGGCTCCAACCAGTCTCACCTGCATCCATGGGCCCAGGAGCATCACTTAAGTGCAAGACTGGGCCTGTCAGAACATTTGTGTCCAGCGGTATTACAGCTGTATCACCTGTCCCTATCCATGGACTCCACTGTTTTGGATTCCACCCTGAAGACTGACTTCCTGCCTTGACCTTGGGCTCATCACCACCAACTTGCCTGATGACCTGGACTCTCAGTGGAACTTGAGTGCCACCTCAGGGTCTGCCTTGCTCAGGTACTGTGAGGAGTGGGCTCGTGGCTGGTGATGCCCCTGTGCTGTCAGCTGTGCTGTCACACTCAGCTCCCTGTCCTTTAGGAAACAGCTGGCTCTCACTGCTCCTTGACTGTTACTATGCAAGTCAGGCTGTTTAACTGTTGAGAATTTCAATTTACCTGCAAATTATCTGGAGTTGTTCTCTTCACATCATATCTTACAGTAAAATCCCCATCCAAGGCAGACTCTGAGCAACTTGCACAGGTTCGCTGCTGATCAAGAGTTGGCCTGAAAGAGATGTGCCCCTGCAAAGGAAAGCCTTCATTAGATCTGAACCTCCATAGCTGAACATTTCCTGCAGAACACATTTGCATTTTTTTAAAGCTAGTATATTTATATTCACAGACATGAGAATAACCTGGGTTATCTGGTTAGCTATTAGTTCGTATGCATGCATATGTATTTATATACTCATAGGTGGGTAACTGGCAGATGAAGGCTGCTATCCAGGACCTTCTCCATGTGTTTCCCCATCTGCCTTAGGTCAGCCCTCCACTCTGAATGACACCTTTGGCAAGCCTGTTGGGCAGTCTGTGTTTTTAGGAATTCTACCACCTCCATACAAGACAAAACTACTTGTTTCTCACTCAGTTCTTGTATAAGAGATACTCTTACTGGTATCCAGGTTTCCAAATGCTGCTGTGGGACAAGGCCTACTAGTTTTGGTACAGTATCCTGCTAAGTTACATGGCTTCAGAACTGTGTTGAGAAGGCCTTTAACTTTCTACCTTTGAATTCAGAGCTCATTTGCACAGACAAGCCTTTACTGCATTTTCTCTATTTTTTTTTCTCTCCCTTCCATTGCTAGCACTGACATTATTATTTTCAAATTATAGCCATAATAAGTAAATTACGGAACTCAGTAGTCAATGTACCTTTTTCTCTGAAAAAGTTTTTTTAATGGTATTTTGTAGCTCATTGGTGATGAATGTTCCTTCTGCTTCCAGCTCAGTGATACCCTGGGGCTCAAAAATATTTACTGCAATCTGAAACATTAATTGAAAATTCATTGTCATTGACTAACACACAGTACATCAACTCAGCCATTTCCAGGAGGATCAGCAGGCAACTACAGATATGAGAGAAGCATTTTCATAAAAGCAATAGAAATTTACTTTTATAATTCATAATGGCAGTCCAAATCCACTTGTGTGGACACATCTTCAGCCAAACAGGTCTTTTTACACACAGAGGTTAAAAACAAAGGTACAAATAAACAAACCTTAATAGAAATATAACTTGAAAGCAGATAGTGGAATTCTACCAAGGCAGATAAGAGTGATCAAATACCAGTTTTAACACACAAAAGCTGCAGTATTCTAGAATGCAATATATGCATCAATGTGATTTAAGACGATGTTGTTTCATGGTGGTGTAAGAAAGGTGTAATTTATGCTATAAAGGTATATGCAAAAGATATTAATCTTCCACTTCAATGCCTATTTCAAGGCATTGAAATAGGTTTTTCAGGATTTCACACATGATTTCTTTCAGCATGCTCAGTAGATGGAATGACCATTGTACTCCACTTTCAACAGATGTACAGAATTTCATCAGCTCTTAAGTTATAGTCAAATTTGATCAGTTTGCCATTTACCTCAAAATCTTTGACAAGCTGCTTTGGTTTCACTTTGATGAACATCTCGTATTTTCCAAAGCGTCGCTTCAGCAGTTCCTCGTACGTGAGTTCAAAAGTGACTTTACTGGCTGCTTTAACGTTGACTGAGACAGTGAATTTTTCTGTTTTTCTTCCTGAAGCTCTGTATTAAGTGGGTAGGAAAATAAGTATCTTTATCCTCTTCTACAATATTTATTGCTTGGGTTGGTGGCATACAATTTTCAAAAAGAAGAAAAACAAAATGTGATTTTTTTTTCTGTTCTAAATAGGATCTATTGCTAAAATCATACTCAAATTGTTGAATTTATTCAAGTTTCCCAGTGAGCTTAATCCCAGGAACAGGTCAGTGGAAGCTGCAGAAACAGCCTTTCCATGATTGCAGGTACTGCCTGTGTAGTCAGAAGTTGTATTTCCTTTTTATAATTTGTGCTGCAATAACTCTAACTTAATGATTGTTCCTTGGTCCCATAATGTCAGTAACATACCAGAACACAGCATTTCCAATCTCACAGTTTGCTATGGGATGATGATGTGGAAGCCACACAAGACATCATTCTTACTTGACAAGACCAGCAGTCTGTCCTCTTGAAACAGCCTTCTCATATTGCTTTTTTGCAGCTTCTTTTTCCTTTATAGTTCCAGGATAAGTGACACCATCAATTGTCCTGCAGATGAAAAAGTCCTAGTTTGGTTGAACAATACACAAAAAGTTACCACAGAAATTCTCCCTTTGTTGATTGGTTTGCTAAAAAGCACTTTCAGAAACCTGTTGTTGCCAAGATTGGAGCCCTTTCACTGAAACCAGTCTCCTCAGTGAATTTAGGTGGAACTGGACTTACCCCTGCCATATTCCTACATTTCAGCAGCTTCATCATCCTGTCTCATCTAATGGCAAACCAGCCCTCTGGGTGAGACTCACCCGTCCAAGTGTCACTGCCTACAGCTGAGCATTTATTCAAATATAAGCCTTTCATTCAAACATGATTTTTAAATGAAGAGATAAATTAAGCTATAATGCCATCAGGGAAATTAGGTAATGGAACTTTCCTGGTTTGATAACACCAGAGTAAGTGGTATTTCTGAAAAGGTGGATGGATCTCCAGGGAAGGTCCCCCATTCCCTGGGGTCCACGATGATGAAAAGAAATAACTGAAAATTAGTCATTTTTCTACAGATGTACCAATGTTTGCCTTTCTCCATGTATCTTACACGTTAAGTTAACAGTACCAGAAAATCACCCAGGAGGCATTTAAAAATCTGTCAAATGGCAAAGTAAAAATGAACAGTCGAGTTCAGTTTCTCCCAGCTGAATTTGCACAGATATTTAGTCTTCTCTAATGATATTGTAAAAATTACACACATGCTGAAGTTGGTAATGAAGGCTGTCTTAGGGAGCTCAACATCAAAGAAGACTTCTTTGGACACATTCCCACGATTGACAGCTCGACTGGTGATGACATTGTGGGCAAACCGGGAAGTTACTTTACTATCGATCTTCATGTTATAGATTTCTATCCCATTGACAACCTGTAGATTGAGAAATGAAACAAGGGGAAAAAAGAGCACCAGCTGTTACACTGATGTGTGTGTTAATCAGTCATCATCACACTTTTAAAAAGAAACCATGGCAGGGCATGGATCACTCCAAAGCAAACCAGGAATCATGAGAACTGGAGCACAGCTGTGTTTCCTGGGATATTATCACAATGCCATCGTGGCACTATTCCACAAGTTATAACTACAGCCCCTTTAACAAAATACTACTACCACAGCAAAGGTACTGCCACTATAAAAAAATGGTTTATTTTCTCTACTGAGAGAGTGATGTTTTATGGTTACTCAAAGAGCACAACAATTTACTTGCTGCCTCCCTGGCTCAGTGACTGTAATTATCAGTGGAGTGGATGACTCCTAGAGCAGGGATGTAAGTAATTACCTTGTTTAAAAATAGACCAAAACAATTCCAGATGGCTCCAAACTTTATGTTATTCTGAACTTCCTCACAACTGGAGCTCATTCTTTTTTAAACAAGGAAATGGGCAGGGCAACACTGATTTTCTCTGAATGCTCAGGTATAAGGTTGCTGGAGAGTATGTGAAAGCACAGGTAACAGCAGATGTGATTCATTAGGCAACTCCTTAAACAAGGGCTGCTTCTTGCAGCAGAGCCAGTGCTGGAAAGAACTATGGAATTTTTATGGTGGGACTGATCTCTGGCTGATTGATTAAGAAGGTCCCCAAACAATCCAAGTATTTAAACATTGCTGAAGGGGATCCAGGTGCCAAGTAGAATCAGCTTCAGACATCAGGTCTCTTGCCTTTAACATAACTTCAATATAAAACAAAAGTAAAAATAAAACCAACATTGAATAGACGTCTGTTAAGAGATATAGAGGTGATTTCAAACAATTTTGCTATTCATTCAAATACAATGAAGTTACAAATCATTTGTTCATTCTCTTTTCTTGTCCAGGATTTTCCATCAGAGCTCAAAAAGGAACTGTCTAGTTGAACCTTTTGCCCAAAACAGGCAGCTCTGGGCTATTTCCAGAAATATCCACTTGCTCTCTCACAGAAACATTTTGTGAACACAGTATATTCCTGTCACTACAAATCTTTCTTGGTAGCCTGGACAAAACCAAGTGTTACTCACCAAGTCATTCTCAGCATTTCGCTTCTGTAAAGAGAAAAAAAGGGAAAAACCATGAGTAAGAAGGTGCTTTTAAAAATAACTCACTTAGCACCTGTGCAGTTGTCACAAGCCAAAAGTTGTCCAGGAGAAGGAAAGCTCAAGAAAGGTCTTCATTAGTAAACCTAAAGTAAATTTGAGGGAAGAGCAAGTAAGGCACGTTGCTTGTTTTGTATTTTGCTCAAGTGACACAAAAAGTGCCTTCTTCCTGCTGAAAACAATCATGGACCCCTGAGAGATGAGGGGAGAGAGAGAGGAAAAGAATGCTCAGTGCCATTTATGACTAAATGTCACTGAGATTAAAAAACATACTAAAATTTTCTTAATAGGACTCCTTGAATATAGGCTGGCTCTGTGGTGACATCAAGTAAAACCAGAATATCTTTTCCTGAGAGTGACAACTTTTTCTTGGCAATTCCTGGATCTGAGTCCTGTAGTACATATTTTCTTTTCAAATTTATTCTCCTTTGGAAGTAAAAAAAAAGGGTTTATATCCAAGCATAAAAACCCAGTTTGCATTTTTTTATTTCCAGTCACACACATCCACACTGTCAGGCAGACCCACCATTACACCTTTTCAGACTTACTCCTAAATTTTTCCTGTTTCACCCCACCAGCCTCTCAACCCAACATGACAAAGTATGATGGTAATTCAGTAAGATTACAGAGAGGAGAGATGGTCACCATGAAAGCCCGCATGGAGGGGAAAAAAAATAAGCAGCTACAACTTTTTTTTTTTTTGCCATATTTGCTCCCAGAGTAGGTGCAAATATCAGAAGCTGTACAAAAATATCACGTCCTCTCTTCTGAAAGAGAGGACAGGCATTAAACAAACTGACTGACTCCTGTTACAGTAACAGCTTGTGTAACTCAGTTCTCATCAGCTCTGCTGCAAACACCTTATCTCGTTTGGCTCCGAGAGCCTCGAGGGGTCACATTTTGTGGAGGCGTGTTTGGCTGCTCCACCAAACACAGGGAGAAGGACCTAATGAGGTTTTAAGTCAGAGACACATCTCAGGTACATTTAAGGCTTTTGGGACCTTTCACACTTAAGTTTTGCAAGCTGGAAACCGAGACACAGAGGGTTATTTTTTTGTCTATTTTGGAGTTCCTTTCAAGACACTATTAAATGTTAGGTAATGCCAGGTTTGGGGGGAGGCTTCTCAAGTGCTCTAAGAGTCTGGCCAAGAAATCTGGACACATTTCTCTGTGTTCATCTTTCCATCTGCTATTGCCATACAGATCATTTCTGTGTGTGCATCTCTCCCCTTTCAGAAGCCTCCATGGATTTCTTTAATGCCTGTGTAGACTGTGCATCAATTCAAACCTGTCCTTTCCAAAAGTGAAATTATCTCTTCTGTCTCTATGCTGTCATTACAGCTTGTCATTTCCCCTTACAAAACACAAACTGAGGTATGGACCTTGGGAAATGAAAAGCTGGAAGTCACTGAAATGTCAGTTTGTTTGGTACAAACATTTCCTAACAGTGGAATTACCAAGCAGTTTAAGGATACAAAAAACACACCAAAAAAATGTGTTCTTTACTTACAAATTCTGCAATTCCAACTCCTGCCTCCAAATTAAAAGATACTTTAACTGCATTTAGGTTTTACAGGATTGCTGTTGTGTATATTCTTTATCAGGATTATGGGTTTGACAGTAGTTTTGAAGGAGTTCTGTTTTGATTCTGTAAATGTTTAGAGGGGTACTCTGCAATTTTCATTGAAAAAGAAACTACAGAAAAATCTCTCAGTGAAAGGCATTAGTGATTTTGTGCTTGGGCTGATCTTCAATGGAGACACCCAACTCAGCTGGACATTGCCCAGCCACCTGCCCTAGCTGACCCTGATTTGCACAGGGGAGGGCAGTGAGCCTGTGATTTTGTTCTGGGTTTTTTTTCTTTCTTTTTTTTTTTTTTAAATTTTAATGATTCACTTGGAGGCAGCTTGAGATGTCACTAACATCAAGGTCATTTTAAGCTATGTGGGTAGAAAGCGATAGTGTGCCACTCAAAAAGATGATGCAATTCTAGACAAAAATGAGATTTTAATATCCTCTACCTTGGATAATCGTTACTTGGTAAAATGTTTCTGTACTATTTCTATATATTTGCCAGGTGCACTAATTATTAGAATTTATGGGGTTTTTCCGTTATGCAACAGCAACAAGTTCTTCTTTTGTTCACTACTGTCTTGGTGTGGCAACAACAAAAAATAGAGGTGCAAAAAATCTATAGAAATTGGAGGGGAAAAGAGAAATTTGAACTCCCAAGAAAACAGGGAGGGTAAAGAAGGCCCCCGTTACAGCACTTGCTGAAAGAAGCCCTGGTTGTACAGCTTGGAAAACTAAACCACAGTTCTACAGGTTGTTTTTAACCTAGGAAAATCTTTCCCACCCTTAGGAACAAGGTGTGCCAGTACACACAGGGATCTTTGATTCGGATTTTTGTTCAATTTTCACCAGAACTGGGTCTGCTGACTGTGTTTACCTGACTATGGCTCTAAAAGGAGCTTTGGCAGCCTGAAGCTCATCAGCCAACCAGGCTTCCAGCCACACTTCACCATTCCCTGCTGGCACACTCCTTGGGGCCAGGACACAGTGGGGACAGAGGCCTTCACACTACAAAGCAACCCCCTCCATTTCAATCACATCACATTTGCATAAGGTATATAACAAAACTGGGAGAATCAACTGATTTTCCATAGAATTCTGCATTGTATGGATGGAGCACTGCCCAGAGCTTTGGCAGTTTTCCACTTAGAAAGGCTTTAGAGTTGCAAGACACAGAGAGAACAACAGGTACTATGGTAATCAGCAGGAAAAAGCTACATTATATCTGGGCTATATATAGGTTAAATAATAAGAATCACTGGCATTTACAGTTTGCAGCATTAAATCTCAAGTTGATTCTTGAAAGTTAGGCATGTTACTATCCTGATTTTCAAAGAAAAACTGTTGGCAAAGACCATAACCTAATCAACAGGAATGAACTGTAACTTGCTTTGTCCTGTTCTACACAGTAACTCAAAATCTTCCCTCAGGAGATTTGCTCTCTGTAACTTTTCAGAGTACGTAAGCACTGAGAGAGAGGAAAATAATTTATGGAGGGGAGGGGTAGTGGGCAGTAACTTAACCAAAGAAAATTAGGCAAAACATCAGGCAGCACTGCCTTACTCAGAGATCAATTGAAACCAGAACGGCCCTCTTGAGGGACAGATATTTTTAAGAGATATATTTCATGCTGTGCTAACATGCAAACCTTTTGAGAAAAAACCTACCATGTCATTTGGATAGTGGACATTTATCTTGATGCCATGTTACATTTCTGTTTTCTCCTTCTTGGAGGCATCTTTTCACTGATATTTTGCATTGCAAAATGTGCTAAAGTCAGTTCCCTGGCAGCACTGATTGCTTTACACATTTAAATATAAAACCACTAAAACATTTTACCACTATGTGGTGATGACAGAGAAAACAGAAGAAAGGGATGCTTTTAAAAAGAGAAGTAGGAGAACTTCAGAGCTGATGGAACACTGAGGCTGATTAGAGGTCAACTAGTCTGCGTCCCAAGTTCGATCTCGTGTCCACACAGAGCTCCTGCTGTCAGCACTGTATGAACTCTCTGATAAATGCTGATAAATTGCAAGAAAAATAATCTATGAAGAGTGGGAGCTCCATACGCAGTTGGTTACTTACCTCGATGTTTCTGATATGTGTTACCAAAACGTCTGATGATGCAAAGGTGGAAATCAATAATAAAATACAAAGCAATAGATTGTTTTCCATTTTGGAAAAAAAGTAAGGTTCAGATTGGAACGATATGCATAAATATATAATGCTTTGTTTACCAAGTGTTAATAAATAACTCAGTGAGAAAAGTGGGATTAAACATTAGGCATTTGGGAAAAATCAAACACTGAATTTTTAATTTGCATAGTCTACAGAATACTGTTACAAAATCTGTTACAGACTATTTCAGCAGTGTCCCTTCCATGTAATAACTTCAAACAGAAATTCAACAACCATTTCTGTAGAAGCAACTGAGATCAATCTCCTCTCCAGACTCTCTTCTTTGCCAAATGAAAACTGTCATCTTTCTGATACTTCCTTAAAGGCTTTCCCTGGCCCAAATTACTGCAGCCATGACAGAGCTTGCAGCCTGTGACACCCACTTAACCTCCTATTCAAAACTACTCCTGTAATCCTGTGTTATCACCCAGGTACCCGATTTAGGTATCGTTATTTGACGTGTCCTACCTAGTACAGAAACTTCCCATTACATGGGTTCTTATTCATCTTTGTGGCTGAAACCAGGTCCAAGCTCACAGGTCTTGCATCTTGCACCCTCAATGCCCATCCAGCCTGCAGCTGCGTGGCCCTTCTCCTCTATTTGTTATCTTGACAGTGTCAATTATCTCCTAAACTTTTTAGCTGGTTTATCTCCGCTGATGAACTTTGAGGACTGGGAGTTAAATGCCCAGTGATAATAAAACATTTTATTTTGCGGTTTTCCTGCAGTCAGGGTTCTGAGGCGCTCAGCCACGTGAGGGACACAGGAGAGGTTCACAAGCTCCTTTTAAACCAGTCTGGATGTTTTTTGACCAATTCTGTGCCCTACCCAAAGGGACAGGATGGCTCTGCGAGCTGCTGACAGGGGCAGCTGTGCCCATGGCAGGTGAGGTGGCGGGACCTGCTGTGGGGTGTTATTCCACAGCTGCCCACTGGGCTGTCACCGTGCCCCTGTCGCCAGCCTTTCCCGGGGCTCAGCAGATGGACCTCATGGAGGTGCAGCCCAGGACGCCCGTCACACAATGTTTGTGAGGGGATACTTGTGTTTCTGGGGCCGTAGAAGAGGGAAAGCCTCGGCGCGTTCGCCACTGCCTCATGGATCCCCTCAGGCTCACTGCCCGTTCTCAACATGGCCGTCTCGCCCGCTTCCAAAATGGCCGCCGCGGCGCCGCTGCCGCGCCATAAAGCTGCGCGGCGGGCGCCCCATGGCCGTGGCTGCCCCGGGTATCTCTATGGCAGCGGGTGCTGCCCGGCCCCGGCGGCGGGAGGAGGATGTCCCTGGCTGCCTATTGCTTCCTGCGGGCCGTGGGGAAGGGCAGCTACGGGGAGGTGAGCCTGGCGCGGCACCGCCAGGACCGCAAGCAGGTAGCGAGGGGCGCTGGCACGGCAGGGGCCGCGGCTCGGCGTGAGGGGAACGGCCGGGGCTGGGCTGGGGGTGCCGCGGGGTCTGCTTGGGGTGTCACGACACCCCGCTGTGGCCCACCCTTGGCTTGTGGCCCTGGGAACAGACTCGGGACGAGCAGGGACGTGGCCTCGTGTCAGGTGTGTCTGTGACCGTCACCTGGTGTGAGGGTGTGGCTGTGACCATCACCTGGTGTGAGGGTGTGGCTGTGGCCATCGCCTGGTGTCAAGGCAGGGCTGTGACCATCGCCTGGTGTCAGGGTGTGGCTGCAGCCACATGAGCTGGGCTGCTCGTGTTCTCCTCCTTTGTCTGTGAGGACTTTTGTTAAAGAAGTGCAGAAGACTCTTCCACCCTCCCTTATCTTTTTAATCTTAGCCTCCACTCCCCCCCCCCCCAATAAGCCAAGCCCCTAAAATAACTTTTTTATTTATGTAAGTAAAAATAACATTAGTGCTTTTTTTTGCTTTTCTTAATGTATAATGCCATGTTTTGTGGAGAACAGCTGTTTTGGGTAGCCCTTTGGGTGACAGGGAAGGACAGCCCGCTCTTAGCGTGAGGCAGAACAGGTTGCTCTTGCCCTGTTACTGCTTGTGCTCCTGTGGTGGAGATAAAAATGATGGCAAGGATGGAAAACCAGCTCCTGGTGTTGGCTTTCTCTGGCATCAGCCCTGTGGGAGAAAGACGGGCTCTGTATTTGCTGTATTGGCTGTGCAACAGCCCGGGAAGTTTTGGTTGTGTCAGAGTTAGGTGCAATGATTTTTGTTGGAAAACTGAAATAATCCATCCTGCCTGGCCAAAGCAGAGGTGTTTGATAGGAAATGTGAGAGGGTAGAGAAATGGGGTGGAGAAGACCCACAGAACAGTATCGCAGGAACCTTGGGTGTGAGCCTTAAGCCTGGAATTGTACTGAAGATGATGGGAAAAGGTTTGTTCCCAGCAGTGATCAGAGGGCGTGTCCTTCCCGGATGAAGGCAGTTCCCTGGCTGGAATCCAGAGGTGAATCCCTACAATATGTAGGTTGGGTAGTAGTGATGGCAGGACTTGTTCCCTCCAGGCCATCACCACAGTGCATAGTCCAATGTCCTCAAAGAACTGCTAACCTCATCCTAAAAGTAAACAGTGCTTTGAGGTGACTTTCACCTGTATATAGGTCCTTGGATTTTTTTTGTCGTGCTGCTGGTCATTAACATTGGCAAGAGCCTTGCTTCCTGTTCGTTGTTATTTCATCTTAAATATTTGGTGTGTTTTACTGTGTCTTATCTTTTGCCAACTTTTACAAACTTTCTTCTGTAGCAAGATGGTCAGGATTTTTTTGTTGTGGTTTTGGCATAGTGCCTTGTGCTCTTTGAAAGAAATTATGTCTTATTTAAGCATATTTGCTGATAGCTGAATGCTGTTTATTTGTGGAAAAACTCAAGTGGCTCTAAATGTTTAAAACAAAATGAAATGCAATTTGTACACAATTCGGTATCAAATAAGGCAGAAGAGCTTTGCAATAGATTTCAGGGGAATCTTGCCAGGAGAACATGCTCATTAACCCAAATATAATCAATGCCGAGTTTAAAATAAGGCTAATACACGTGCTTTTTGCATTTTGGTAGTGTATAATCTAAAAGATGCTGATATAAAGCTAAAAAGTTTTGGTTTCTGTGCTCAAAGTTGACTTGCCATGTAGAACACAGTAGTTGCAGCATTTCCATTTTATTTTAAACTTAGATGATTCTGTACGCAATTAGTTTAGTGATATTCCTTCTGGAAGCTTTGCACTGTCACAGGTTATATCCAGCAGATTTCTGAAACACAAAGTCATGAGTTGCTGTGGATTTTCTGGGTAATTGGTTCCCTTGGTGTATAGGGGTGTCTCGTTAGCACTAATTAAATGTGTTGGGGTAATTAATAGGCCCAGCCTGGGCGGCAAACACTGAACAATCGCGGAGGATGCTGAAATTCAGCAAGTAAAAAAATTTTTTAGAAGTTTTGATTTAAAAGCTCTCAGATAAGAGCAGGGTCAGGTGTAACCATGGCATGTTTGTTCCATGGAAAGCTGATGCCCTAAAGTGATTACCACAAAATTTACATCGGGATGGGGCCGGGTCAGAACTAAATGTTGGTGCTGTGGGTGATAAAAGTGTGCTGTGAATTTTATTGCCTCATCTATGTTTTTGCTAAAACCTGAAATTCCTTAGAATTACAATAGTACATATTAGGGAGGTAAATAGCAGCTTTTATGTGTAGCTTTGAAAAATTCTTAACCCGTCTTAATACAGAATAAAAGAAATTTAGGAATGACTGTAAGACCTTTTGTCTCTTTCTTTCAGATAACTTTTATCCTAGACATCATAGTAATTTTTTTGCATGTGACTATATACTTTCCTTATTATTATTATATATTTAAAGTAACTGTTGAAGTGGCCCTTTTTGAGTGTAACTGTGGTGCACAAACAGGTATTTCAGGCTTAAGAGATGAACAGAAGACACACATTTAAAATGAGAATGGTGGGGGGGAAGATAAATATGAACATTGGTCAAAAGAAAGTAAACCACAAAATTCCTGTGCAGAGTTGTATTCAGGTAGATGAACAGAATGGCCACAGTTCTTCCATTTTTGTGGTGTAAGGGTAGAAATGATGCATAACTGTTAAACTGCAGCCTCCACGTAGAATAAAGAGTGGAGTTTCAAATACTGTGTTTCCCTGAGACCTGGGAAATTCCCTGGAGCTTCTGCACAGTCACCTTGATCCCTTGTGCTACATCCTGCCATTTCTTTTCCAGTATGTCATCAAAAAGTTGAACCTCAGAAACGTTTCCAGCCGTGAGAGGAGAGCGGCAGAGCAGGAGGCACAGCTGCTGTCCCAGCTGAGACACCCCAACATCGTCACCTACAGAGAGTCCTGGCAGGGGCAGGATGGCCACTTGTACATTGTCATGGGCTTCTGTGAGGGAGGAGACCTCTACCACAAACTTAAGGAGCAGAAGGGCAAACTCCTGCCTGAGAATCAGGTGGTGGAGTGGTTTGTCCAGATTGCCATGGCACTGCAGGTAAAATAAAGTATACATTTGTCACCTTCAGATGTAAACTTAATTTGGCTCTTTCTGCATTTATTGAAATCCTATTTAGCTGGATACCATCTAAATACAGTGGTTATTAGTACATTAAAAATGCTCCCAGGTCACTGCAGTCAAATCAAACATTTGAAGTAAGAAGTTTCTATCATATTTTATGTCCATAACTCTGTAGCACAGTAGACAGTGGTAACCTCTGGGGTGTTTGCAACTCTAGTTGCTTCTCTGGTTTGAAAGTTTAGGTTAAATTTATAAAATGTAGTTTTTGAGGAAAAAAAAAGGGAGAGGCAGATTATTTCAGGAGCATTTTCTGTTCTGTGGTTTTGTTGGTGTTTTTTAATGGTAAATTTAGACTATTAATTCATTTCTATTAAATCTTCTCTTACTCCTCTGAAATTTAGTAATCATAGTTTATTAAACTTTAAAGGCAATTGTTTAGCAATAAAGACCAGATATAAATGTCAACACTAAAGAATAAGAAATGAGAAAGAAAATTCTATCTAAAAGTTGGCTGTTGTGATCAAACATATATAAGT